ATAATAAATTAAATCGGTCCCTTAACGCTTATAACAATAAATCTTAAAGCAATCAAAAATACAGTCAGAACATTGACTATTTTACAATACTTTTTTCATTAGTATTTGTTTAACTTTACAACAGAGAAAAAATGGCAAAAAATCTTGTTTTTTTTTTTTTTAGGGGTCATTGTGCTTGTTTTTTTTTTTGTGTGAAAAACAACGATCAGCAAAAATTGGGCATTACAGTACCTTAATTGCTTGTGGAGGCTCTCAGTCGTACAGGAAAGTTCCATCGTAGAAAGGGTTCTGTAAGTCCTCATCTGTACCTGTGGGTACAGATGAGGACTGACAGAACCCTTTCTACGAAAGTACCTTAATTGGTCCATTTTGTTTTTTTTTTACTTAACTGAAGTAGTCGCGATGGCTTGTACCTGAAAAACTCACACAGTCAAGGTAACATTTTTTTTTTTACTCTGATGGGCAACTATTTAAAGGGAGTGTTAATTTGTCCTCTGGTGCTCATTTGGACATTTGGGATATGTTCTTTTTAAGGAAATCCAATCTATGTAAATTGGGTGTGATGAGGTCGGCTGTATTTTAAAGCAGGTTGCTTCTGACGGCCATATGAATTATCGCCTCTGGAGGGTAAATCCACCTGGCATTGTATGCCACCCTCACCTTCAACCTCCAGTGATACACGCTCAGTCAGCACAGCGCCGGATAACCCGACAAAGATTCCGCCGCTCTGACTTTCATGCCCTCCACATGTTTATTTTTCATTCAGCAAGGTGACAGCATTGGCTCTGTGCAGCCCTCCTGAGGCATGAACATGCCGGCCATTTGCTTTTCCAACTGTAATGAAGAATGCGGCCTCATAAATCAAATTCGCTTGGGTCATGAAGCTGAGAGATTTAAGTCAGCAAATGATGAGCGTGTGAACATTGTGAATCACATTTGTGTCACTTTTCAAGAAGGGAAAAAAAAAAGAAATACTATGGCAAAATTCATCCATCCATCGATTTTCAAATCCGCTTATACTCATAAGGGTCGCATGCATGATGGAGCCTATCTCAGCTGTTTTCATGCAGTAGGCGGGGTACACCCTGAACTGGTTGCCAGCCAATCGCAGGGCACACATAGATGAACAACCATTCGCTTTCACATTCACACCGAGGGACAATTTAGCGTGTTCCATTAGCCTGCCATGCATGTTTTTGGAATGTTGGAGGAAACCGGAGTACCCGGAGAAAATCCACCCAGGCACGGGGAGAACATGCAAACTCCACTCCTGCACCTCTGCAATGTGAGGCCGACGTGCTGGCCAGTCAAACAACGTGCCGACTGATCGCAAAAGTTTTTTACAAAATACAAATTATTAGATGTAAAAAGAAACACATTGAGTGTAAATTGATGACTAAATATATTCTATTCGGTAAAAACTAAAACAGGGGTACCTCTACTTACAAACGTCTCTTCATACGAAATTTTCAAGTTATGAAAGGCCTCAACAGGAAAATATTGCCTCTTGTTACGAAAGAAATTTCAACTTACGAAAGGTAAAAATACAGTCTGGCTACCGTGTGTCCATGGAGCCTCCTCGTCATTTGCCCCTCGGGCCATGAGGCGTTCTGATAGTTTTACGTAAATGTTAATCACCCAGAAAAAGTGTTCACCAGTCGGGGGATCGCTCACTATGCTGATGTTTGCCTTGGACATTTTCGAAGGATTGTTAAAAGCTGAGAAAATCAAACGTCCTTGGATCAGTTCTTTACCAAATGCCAGGCAAAATCCACTTCTGAGAGAGAGAACATGAACTAAAGAGAGCAAAAAACGAGGATGCAGTTAGAAGTTAAATGACCATCATTTTTATTCTTTATTCTTTGTTTTTTACATTTTGCACAACTCTCATTTATTCTGCAATAATCTAATTGTAACATGTATTTGTTCTATATTGTGTAGCATTTTCATGCTTTAGAACAGCGGTCCCCAACCTTTTTTGCCCCACGGACCGGTTTCATGTTAGACAATATTTTCAGGGACCGACATTTAAACTGTGGTGGATAAATACCACAAAATAATATGATATGACCTGCATGATACTGTGGTATTTCCGAAACATAATAATAAACACGAATCTTGACACGAGGAATGTCCTATTTGGCCGACGTACTCTGGTCGCGATGGTAACGTTTAAACGTGCCTTCAAAATAAGACACAGCAAATGTAAAGTGCATGAAAAATATGACTCATCATCGCGCATATTCTGCAGCGGGGGCTTGGTGCGTGGGAATCTCCCGTTGAGATAAATCCGTATATTAAGTAGGACTCCTGATACTTTCTA